CTCCCCACTCTCTCAGGCAGGAATTACCTCAATATTCCATCTAACCGTGTCCTCGGGCATTTTTAAGCCATCCCCCCTCATCCTATCACTACACAGTCCCTTTCCATGCATTTCCATGTGCAGGACCCCAAGGCAGGCAGGAGAAGGGGTTGTGTGTGCAGGCTGGGAAGCCCTCAAAACATGTGAAAAATCAAACTGTGGGAGTTGCTTATCTCTTACACCATCCTTGCTCTTCACTTTAATAGCTCGAGGCTCCCCTCCCGAGAACAGCTGTCAAGAGATTTGCAGCAGCAGGAATGTGTCATCTGCACCCAATGATCCAATAGTCCTAACAATTGTGGGTATTATTTCTCTTAAATCTACCCCTTAATCCTATAATGCCATAAAATACCACTGAATCAGAGCTTAGCAGGATTCCAGAAAGGAACAGACTTTTAAAGAGATAATGAGAACTCCACATTTATATTGGATAGGATTGAAAGGAGAGAATGGGGGAGGTAGAACATACCAGATGGGCAGATTATTTCATAGTTTCCCTTAATATGATTTCTTCAACCTGAAGCATCTGGTAATTCCACTATCAGAGATTAGATACTGGATAAGATGGACAGGCAGGCTGATCTAACAAAGCAATTTTTTTTTCTGGCTACACATAGGAGAGGTTCCCATTAAATCCTGTATCACAGGATAAAACAGAGGTGCATAAAATGTTGTATCCATGCAGGTAATGGCTGCAGGCCCTGGGACCCCATGTAAATATGTGTCACTTTTGATATAGAAAACAACACATCTCCCAAAGCCCCCATCCTCGCCAGGCAGGCGAGTGCTGAGAATGGATAAACAATAAAACTCACACAGCAGCCTTGTCCTTCAGAGGCTTTTGCAGAAAATTGAAGAAAATCTCTCCAGCTCATTTTTGTGGAGATTTGTGTAGAAGTCCTGCAGGCTGCAGGCAGCACCTTGGGTACTTCCAATCTGGAAGCAGAGATTGTTTTCCAGAACATGCAGGAATCTCATCTTAAAGCCAAAAAACCCAATCAAGCATGATAGAAATGTGTTCCCAGTGCCCTTCTCATTATGGCACTGTTTGGCAGCAAGTTCTGGAAAAACTCACCCCAAAACACCAGTCCTGCCTGATTCAGCCCAAGGAAGAGCTTTCCCAGCCATCCCAACTGGAAAATCTCGTGCACAGCCAGCACAACCTCTCCTGCTCAGCAGAGGGTGGGGATCAGCACCTGTCCAGGTGTGACAGGCACAGCTCCCCTTTGGCATCAGCCCCACACAGCTCATCCCACACCACTGGCACCACTTCTCTGGGAATCAGCCCAGGGCAACCCCCAAGCCCCCAGTGGGGAACAGCAGGGAGGAGTTTCCACCTCCCAGGCCAGGTGAGCAGCCCCAGCAGGGATGGGGAAAGAGGAGAGGGGGAAAAGGGAACAGGAAAGGGGAATGGGGAGAAGGGAAAGCAGAAAAGTGGAACAGAGAAAGGGGAAAGAGGAGAGGGGGAAAGGGAAGGGAAAGGGAAGGAAAGGAAAGGAAAGGAAAGGAAAGGAAAGGAAAGGAAAGGAAAGGAAAGGAAAGGAAAGGAAAGGAAAGGAAAGGAAAGGAAAGGAAAGGNAGCCTGACTTCTAAAAAAATATTATGATTTTAACTTCTATGTCTGATCCCAAGAATAAAAGCAGGGGAAAAACCCACACCAAATATACTGGTAAATAACCAGCTTGAGTTTTGTACCACTAAGATAAAAAATTTCTGCAGTGGATGTCTTTGAAATATTATATACTATTATGGGGAAAGAGGGAAGGGAAGGGAAGGGAAGGGAAGGGAAGGGAAGAAGGAGAGAGGGGAAGGCATAAGGGAAGTGGAATAGAAAAGGGGAGAGGGGAAAAATGAAAAGGGAAAGGGGAAGAGGAAAAGGGGAGAGGGGAAAAATGAAAAGGGAAAGGGGAAGAGGAAAAGGGGAGAAGAGAAAGAGGAAGGTGAAAAGGGAAGGGATAAGGGAAGGGGAAAAGAGAAAGGGAAATGAAATTGCTGAACTAAAGCAAAGATGATAATCCAAACTATCAGAAAGTGACATCACAATTCCCCAAATCAGGGGAAACAAGGTATTCTGCCACAGCTCCTGGTGCCGGGAAAGACCTCACCTTCTCCTGAACAACATCCTCACACCTCTGGGACCATCTTCCCAGGGAAACTCCCTCCTTTCTCTGCCTCTGGGCAGGACTGAGAGGCCCTGAGCTGTGAGCTGGGCTGGCTCCTCCTCACCAACAACACCTGAAACCCCTCAGAGCAGGGATATGTGAGTCCCTGAACCCTCAGTGATGCTGCTCGAGGTGCAGGGAGCCCGGAGATGCAAAAATACACACAAAATGTGCCAAACTTCCCCTAAACTCCCCTTGCTCCACTTCCCTCTGGCCACAGGCTCAAAAAAGGAGCAGGAAAAGGCTCAGAGCTCTGATGCAGCATTGCTCAGCACTCAGGGCAGTGACACTTGACCACATAAATCTTTCCTTAAAAACAAGGCAAACTGAGAGGAAAGGCTGGGGAGTGCCAGCCTGTGCCAGGACCAGTCCCAGTCCATTGGCATTCCAGACACTCTGCAGCCTTTAGCTGAACCACACAGGCTTCACTATTATATTTAAAACTACTACATGCTTTGTAATGCTTATCAGCTGGAGGGTTTTCAACAGTTTTTCCCTACTAATGCTGCAATTTCAAAGCCATTTAGGGTAATTTCCCTTGACTTGAATCTATTTTAATCAGAAACCAGGATACTTGACTTAAATGGTTTGTGTTCAACCCTTCATAAAATCAGCCATAAAACTTGATGCACTAAATAGCAAGGGAACATTGAAGCCAGAGGTAGGAAGAGGTGAAACTTTCCAAACTCTTCAGCAGAAGCAAACTTCAGCCTATTACACATCAGACCAACTGTTCTCTTACAATATCAAGACAATTGATCCCAAAAACAAAAAGAAAACCAATAAACAAAACTCACTCCTGAAGTTCTTCAATAGATAAAAGGCACTCAGTTGTGCAGCTGCACTCAGTACCCACAAATTCTCTCCCAAGTCTCAGCCCAGCTCCAAACTGAAGCATTTTTAATGCAGGGCTGTGCTCTGTCCTCTCCCCCTCTCTCTCTTGGAATGATGGATCGCGGAACTGAGGAAAAATACAACGCAAGCCCGAAAATGTCAGAATTAATCCTTTCCTTCCCCCCAAATCTGAAAAGAAACATTACTTCTCAAATTAATTCTCGCCAAGTAATGCTGGCTCTGCTGGAAGTCAGAGCTGTGGATGAGAAATGGAAATCAGCAGCTCAGCCTCAGGTAAGAGCTGGAGAAGGTCTCGCTCCAAGGATCCTGCATTGTGCTGGGATTTGCATATCACAGAGGCAAAGGTGAATTTGTACCTGCAACTCAGCCTGGCTGGAGGAGCTGCAGCAGCAGAATGCAGGCTGGGCCTGCAATCCTTTGGAAACTCAGCCAGGGATTTCTGCTGTCAGTGCTTGACAGCCATGGGGCTGCTCAGAATTCAGGCAGAGCCCAGAGAGGTGAAGGAACAAGAGCTGTCCCTGCTCCACAGCCTGGACAATCTGGAGCACCCAGGGACAGGGGGAACAAGAGCTGTCCCTGCTCCACAGCCTGGACAATCTGGAGCACCCAGGGACAGGGGGAACAAGAGCTGTCCCTGCTCCACAGCCTGGACAATCTGGAGCACCCAGGGACAGGGGGAACAAGAGCTGTCCCTGCTCCACAGCCTGGACAATCTGGAGCACCCAGGGACAGGGGGAACAAGAGCTGTCCCTGCTCCACAGCCTGGACAATCTGGAGCACCTGACACATGGAGCTCCATATTCTTGGCTGCATGGTTTTCAGTGCACTGCAGATGCCAGGCAACAAGTTTGTCACTCCCCCATTGACACAGGCATTGGACACAAATCTTTCACAATTGAAACCTCTCTCAGCTCATTTTTTTAATCAGGGATTTCACTCCAGGCCTGGACATACTGACACTTCCCTATTTTGAGGAACACTCTGGCAGCCATATCTAAAATTAACCTTCACAAAGATAAACCTGCAGCATGTCTTTCCTCATCCTCTTAACAAAATGATGTGTCACCTCTTTTAAAGGCTGTTCTCCTGTGCTGCTTGGCAGGTAAACATCACCAGCACCTTAAAAGCTCAATCAAAAAAAGGAGAGGAAGGATATTACATGTATAGAAACTCCCTTTAAAGGCCCAGATGTCCAACGGGAGATCCCAGAGTGTCCCTGCAGGATCCCTGTGCTGGGAGGAGCCCGAGGGCAGCCCAAGGGCCCTGGAGGTCCTGCAGGATGTGAAGGAGCTGACAAAGAGAGAAGGAGGAGCAATCTCTGCACGCTTTTACAGGGTATTAAACACCAAAAGCTCAGAAGCTCAGTGAAAGCAAAGCTGAGCTTCTGATGGCATCACTTCCACCCAAAATCATGGACTGCTTTAGGAAAACAGAGACAGACTGGGAAGAAATTCACTTCTTTCCCCTGATAAATCATCTTGATGAACTCTCTCCAGCTACCTGGAACAGGGTGGGGCCAGGTGGGGATCAGTTTCTCCTGCCAGGTACCAACTGACAGGACAAGTGGAAACAGCTTCAGGTTGTGTCAGGGGAGGTTCAGGCTGGATATTAGGAAGTATTTCTTCATGGAAGAGTGGTCAGGCCCCGACAGCTGCCCAGGGCAGTGCATCCCCATCCCTGTAGAGGTTTAACAGCTGTGGCACATGGGGACACAGGTCAGTGGTGGCCTTGGCAGTGCTGGGGAATGGCTGGACTCAGCCTTGATGATCCTGTGACTCCACGAGCTCATTCCAGCCCAACCACCCCAGTTCCTCATCACTCAGCAGGGCCCTGTGAATGATGAGGGAAGAGCCAAGAGCACCAAACTGGGAAAGCCAGCAGCACCCCAGGCTCTGGGGTGACACCTCAACACAAACATTCCCTCCTGGAGCAGCTGGCACGTACTTGGTTGGGCGATAATCCGGGATGGAACGATCCAGGGAAATCTTCTCACTGAGGTAGGAGTTGTAGCCATACTTCTCATGGGGTCCCTTGGCTTTCTCCTCCTCCTCAGGGGACAGGGTGGCTGGGAGGCCACCCTTGCCACGGCCACCATAGCCCTCAATGAGACCAAGGGACTTGGACAGACCTGGGGAGAAACAGAAACAACATCGCTGGTAAAGACATCCTTGGTAAAACTCATCATTGGTAAAACCCAGCCCTGGTAAAATCCATAATTGGTAAAATCCATCACTGGTAAAACTCATCATTGGTAAAACCCAGCCTTGGTAAAGCCCATACTTGGTAAAACCATCCTTGGTAAAACCCAGCCTTGGTAAAACCCAGCCCTGGTAAAACTCATCATTGGTAAAACCCAGCCCTGGTAAAACCCAGCCCTGCTAAAACCCATCCTTGGTAAAACCCACTGCTGTTATTTCCATCTCCTAAAGAAAAAAAGTCCTCCAACAATCCTGGCTCTTTTGGGATCCTGGCTGTTTTGGGCTGGTTTTCTGCAAACATTCCATGTGCTCTTTCTTTGGCCCAATGCTGGAATAGAAATGCCTCAAGTCTTGCAATTCCTCACGGCTCAGGCACACTGCTCCTGCCAGCCCTGCCCTGGTGTGCAGCTGATAACCTGTCCCAGGATCTGTGCATTTATTCAGTTGGTGGGAGGTTATTCAGGCCTCCTTCCCACTCTCAGAGAGGTAATTACATGGAAGGTTAGATGTCCCCAGGAGAAGGATAGGTTGAACACAGAGCAGGAATAAAACAGGGCTGGTTAAGTGCCAGCTGAATGAATTTTTGCTCTGTGTGAACAGTGAACAGCATACAAATGGTAGGGATTTAAAAACAATTTCCCCTCAATGCTTTCTTATCTTTTAAAGCACAGTGTTCCCAGACCCTTATCAAGGGGAATTATTTATTTATATCTGCATAGCTGAAGGAAATAGGCAAAGTTCAAAATGAGCTGCATATAGAGAGCTCCATGGATGATTTGGTGGTGGCTATAGGAAGCCAAGTCTGTGCTCATGTTATTATTTGTTAGACAGGACACCTGGAATTTGAATTTTTTTCATTAGCAGAATTCACTCTCTTTTGGTCAGAAACATAAAAATGATGATGGATTTTGGGTTGCTTTTTGTCTCTTTGTTTTTTTTATATTGCAAGACACCAGGGTATATTCCCATTGATTCAATGGCAGAGCCCTGACAGAACAGGACAGATTTTGTCACCTCTGAAGCTTTTGAAAGGACAATAACCTTGAGGTTGGTCCTGCTCCCAAACCTACCACTGACTTCCACTGTCCTGGACAAAACATTCCTGCCTCCCCACAGATTTAAATATTTTTTTCCTCGAAAACTAGCATTGAGAGACAGGAAAAAATTGGTGTTGGGAATGTAAATCACAGTTGGAAGCACACTTTGAAGAATTATTATCATTATTATTACTACTAGTATTATTATTATTGTTGTTGTTGTTGTTTTTATTCCTTCTGACAAGGAAGTTTTCAACATCCTTCCCTGCTCCATCAAAGCCCCTCTGACCACACTGGCCTTGATTAGGTTTTATCTGAGGGCAGTAACAACAAAACGAGCTGCCAGGAGCCCCAGGCTGTGGTGACACATGCAGGCTGCCTTTCCCAGCTGCAGGCTGAGCAGGAGCCAGGGGTCACTCAGGAAGTTGGGAAAGGTGGCACTTGGTGGCCTGCAGAAGCTCAGCAGGTCTCTCTGTGAACTTCCCAAACCCAAGTGGTTCCACTCTGGGAACCCTCAGCATCTCCCAGTTTGCTTTTAAAGCTTAATTTTACTTTTCTTGATTGATTTGAACACATTTCTCCCTGCCCAAGTGCTTTTGCTTTTTGTCCTTTGAAGCCACACACCTGTACAGAGGGAAGTGGGGACCTCCTGAGGGGCTCCATGGATGGGGGACACTTAGTGGGATGTGGGAGCCATGGACATCCCAGCACCCGGCTCTGGGAGAAGCAGGCTTTAAAATCACAAGCTCAGGTTATTACCAAGAGCTAATAACAGATAATTAACTCAGGCACCAAGGCACTGCTTGTCCCAGAGCTGCACACTTGAAGCCAGCAGGGAAGGATGATCCCTCCAGGGTGAATCCATCCCCCACAAGATCCCAGACATTTCCAGGGGTTCTTATCTCTGGCTCAGGTAAGGGAACTGTGCTGCCAAGCACAGCACCTCAGTGAAGGACCTGGAATTCGAGGTGAGGAATGTCCCTGAGTGCTCAAACACCACCAACCACCGAGGCCACTGCAGCCTGGGGGACAGAACCCAGCACACATTTCTCTCTGCTCACCCAGTTTATTTCTGCAGATTCTGTCTTTCTACTGCTTTGAGTTGGTAAATGCTGATAAACCAACATCATTTAACCAAAGAAATCAATCAAATGGATCCATTTGTGTTGGGCAGGGCATCACCATGAGCCCACCACCCTCCCTTTGCAGGAGAGCAGCAGGAGCAGGGAGGGTCATGGAGATGAACATGGCCAGGTGGGATGTGCCAGGATCCCCTGTCTGTGTCTGGGCTGGTTCAACATTTCCTCTCCTGCCCAGGCACTCAGGAGGGTTCAGCAATGTCACTTTTGGTGCTTGGCACTCAAAGCAAGAGTCAAGAACGTTTGGCAAGGAAGGTAATTCATGTCCAAACAGAGGAGGAAGGAATTTGTTTCCAGCTGGCTGAAAAGGTGCCTCAGGAGCAGCAGAACTGAAAACAAATGGTGACAGCACATCCTCAGCCAGTGAATCCATTCATTGGCATGCATTCACCACATTTCTGGGCACATTTCTGTGAACTTGAGGTACCTTTGCTGTGACTTCAGGAATTACCCTGAGCCCAGCCCATGTGGCTGCTCAGGGTATTCTGGGATTCCATGGAACCTGCTTGGAATTGGCCTGGAAGGGCCAGAAGTGACACAGAGACAGCACGAGCAAAAAAGGGCAAGAGCATGGTGCCATGAGCTCGTTTCCTCAAAGAACAGGGCTGAAAGCAAAGAGTCAGGACTGTTCCCACACCACAGAGCAAATCCTTTATCATTCTGGGCAGGCACAAAGCAGAAGTGCTGAACCTCTGCCTGAAAAATCTCTCCTGATGCCTGCTCCAGCCTACCTGTAGTGATAAACAGCATTAATCCCCACAAAAAATCTTGATCTTTGTAGTGAATTCAGCCCCTAGGGAATTCTGCAGCTCATGAGATGGGAATGGGCTGCATGGAGATGAGCTGTAGGTGCAGATCAGAGCCCTGAGCAGCCACATGCTTCACTCATCCCAAAGCCACACTCACCCAAGGCTAAAACAGGATTTTTTTCAGAATATCCTAAAAATTCTGAACTTTGGAACGAATGGAATATATTGCTATTGTACTGCAGGACTAGAAGGCAAAAGAAAAAGCAAGACACCACTTGGAGCTGCCAAGATCTGAGCCTCTCCTGCTGGAACAGCCAGACAGAGGATCCCTGGGGACTGGCAGGAGTTGGTTTTCTTCAAGATGATATAAAAATTTAATCTCTACAGCAAAATTATTCCTAGACTGAGCACAGTTAGAGTAAATATATTAGTCTCTTCTTAAGCTGAGTGTATTTCAGGAGGAGGCAGGAGTTTTCTAGGACAGAGAAAATCTTTAGTGAATACAATCAAATGTGATTCGCAGCCTTCATTTCCAAAGTCTCCTTGGGAGCTGGAGGGGGGGAATAGCTTTTTGCTCCATGTCAGCTTGGATGAAGGAAAACATTAACCCTCCCATACAACTCCCAGCTGAGGAAATTTGTGATGAGAGGGCTGGGGAAGAAAAAAGAGCCCTGAAATGAAAAGACATTTCTGAGAAAGGGGTGCTGAGCTTAACGCTGGGGGTGAGGAGGGAAAACATCAACCTTGCAGTGCCTAAAGGGGTCACAGGGGGCTGGAGAGGGACTGGGGACAAGGGATGGAGGGACAGGATACAGGGAATGGCTCCCACTGCCAGAGGGCAGGGCTGGATGGGATATTGGGCAGGAATTGTTCCTGTGAGGGTGGGCAGGCCCTGGCACAGGGTGCCCAGAGCAGCTGTGGCTGCCCCTGGATCCCTGGCAGTGCCCAAGGCCAGGCTGGACATTGGGGCTTGGAGCAGCCTGGGACAGTGGGAGGTGTCCCTGCCATGGCAGGGGTGGGATGGGATGACATTCAAAGTCCCTTCCAACCTAAACCATTCTGCGATTATAATACAGGAAAGATTTCTGGGAAAGCGAAAGTTTTAGCTGCATCTTTCCAAATGTGAATCTCCTGCAGGACGAGGGACAGAACACACAGAGCTCAGGGTGGAAGCCACATTCCAAAAGGGACAAGGAACTTGAAGCCCCACTTCTCCAGAAGGAATCAGTAACACTGGAAAACACAGGAATCATAAAGTGAAATTCAAGGAGATGTCTCTGCAAAGCACAGCTCTCACTCAGTGAAGCACAGTGGATTTTTCAGCCCCAAGAGCTCTCACAGGGATATTTGTTCCTGGCCTGAGTCAGCCAGAGAGCTGAAGGCCAACAAGGAATCTCTGACCTGGGGGAAAAGCCAAACCGAGGGGGTGAATGGCCCAGTGTGTGACCTGCAGGGGAGTCAGAGACAGGGGACACAGCAGAGAGGCTCTCAGGGCATCGTGTGAGAAACCAGAACTGCTACAGAGGCCAGAATGTCCCAGGAATACTGGAAATGATGGGAACTGCTGAAGGTTTTAGTGCTGTCCTGCTGATCACTGCAAACACAGACTATTAATGGGAGAGCTCATTAACAATAAGGGGGATTGGCAGAAGAACAGGCACCAATTTTCCTCTGCAGCCTTGGTGGAACCTGGGGCATGGGATTTTCTGTTCTTGCAGCAGTTTTTACACAGTTTTAGCCAGACTTGCTCAGACTTGTTATTATTAGAGTGAATAACCCCCATTCCTCTGGCTGTAGGTCACACCTGTGTAAGGTGGAACCCTGGGCTACCCCAGGGCTGTGGGAACTGTGCAGGGAATACAAACACAACCCTGTCAGCTTGCATTGCTCTCACTGCCTCCCAAAGCATCCTCACACTCCTGCAGGGGAACTAAAAGTAGCTGTAAAGGATCACAATATGAGAGTTTGCTTTCTCCTGGGGGAAAAAATATTTAAAGTTTAAAAA